GCTTAGGATGGTGGCTTGGGAGGTGGGTGGGCCGGGGCGTATCCACAAGGGTGGGGCCGGAACACATGCTATGTAAGGCATTGGGAGCAAACGCCTCCCAGTGCTGACTTTAACCTACATGGAGTGATTAAACTACCATATGTCTAACGTTCCTGCTTGCTGGCTGGTTTGTGCAGCGCCAAGACACGACGGCTTGACACACACCTTTCACAAGACATCCCTGCCTTGGGCTACATCCCTGTGTCCCTCATAATTTTCCCTGACTTGGCGAATAGATTTAAATAAAAGTGATAAGTGGTCATTTATCCAATTTTCCCTTAATAATTATGAGCGTTCCACTGTTATTCCTCAATCATCCATGTTCTTTAAAGCTAGACTAGTCTGACTAAATAGCAATCTTTCTTGACTTATTTTGCCTGCAGCAAAATAAGTATCATTTCTACTATTTAAAATATTTTGCATTCTTTGAATTTTATCCCTCTTAAATTCTTCTTCCCTGTTCCTACTCATAAATCATAAACCCCTCTTGTGATCCTTAAGGAACATTTATTAAGATTTACAAATAATAAGATTAAAAACTAATATAAACTACAAAATTATGGAAATACACCTATAATTGCTGTTAAATACAAAAAACTATATCTAGAACTTTTAAAATAATGTTTAAAAAATGCATTCACAAATAACACTAAACATAAAACAAATTACAATGGTAAGATTTGCACAGCACAGCAAATACACCATCAAATAAGTTTTAAGAATAGTGCAATATACAGGTCCTTATAATACATATAATCAGTGCTTTTATTGTAAAAAAAAAAAAAAAGTGCCGGAACTCACACATCATACAACCCGCCTTGCCTACCCTACAAGGTTCCATCCAAAAAAAGTGCCGGAACTCCATTCTGGGTGTTCTATGACAAAAAAAGCCCTGCATGTAATAATGGATTTAGGAGAGGAAACAAAAATAAAAAATGGTTCAGTTTTTTGCTTTGCATATCAGTGAGTGATGATCCCATCACAATGGATTTGTCTCTTAAAATTGCTATGGAGATCTTTGAAAGAAACATCCATTAAAAATATATAACATTCTTATTAGTTACAAAGATATTTGTAATTATTTGCTCTATGTTAATAAATATTTTATTTAAATTAATAATATTCACATGCTCAAATAATATCGATCATTATACAGTCAAGTTATTTACCTGTTAAGAGATACTTTCTTATGCATATGAACAATATATAGATAGTTAGCAGCTACATATATTGAACATGCAAAGGTGGTTTTCAGAAGATATTAAATAATTCTGTTGCTGAGAGGCTTGAGTGATGCTACCAGGAGACTGGCTGTAATAAATGGTTTATATACTGACCCAGACAGAACAACATGTTTTTCTGTCCCATCTAGGGCAGATAGACAACTCAATAGAAATGATTATAAAACAGATAAATGTTTATTCAGAGGAATACTTGCTTTCACGTTGTTGCTTCTGGATAACACCTCTCTGTTCATTTCCATAGGTAAATTGATAATGATTTTTCCCCTCTTCTTCTGCCTAAGCATCACATGTTGGCATAAGCATGAGATCTCCAAGCCGTGTGGCTGGAAGCCATGAGCTGGATGAACAAAGGCATTCCCATGTGGCTAGTGTCCAGGAAGTCTCCCAATGCCCTTTAGAAACTCCTCCCACCGACCCATTAACAAAACCAGCATTTAACCCAATAACTGCCAGGTATTCTAACATACTGATACATGCTCTCTAGTTAGAGTTGCATAGATCTATACGATCCAGAACAGTTTATGTGTGATTTTAGGATCAATGTTGTTGTTGTTAATTGCGAAGTCATGTCCGACCCATCGTGACCCCATGGACAACGTTCCTCCAGCTCTTCCTGTCCTCTACTATCTTCTGGAGTCCATTTAAGTTCACACCTACTGCTTCAGTGACTCCATCCAGCCACCTCATTCTCTGTCGTCCCCTTCTTCTATTGCCCTCAATCTTTCCCAGCATTAGGCCCTTCTCCAGTGAGTCCTTCCTTTTCATTAGGTGGCCAAAGTATTTGAGTTTCAACTTCAGGATCTGGCCTTCTAAAGAGCAGTCAGGATTAATCTCTTCTAGGACTGACCGGTTTGAACGCCTTGCAGTCCAAGGGACTCGCAGGAGTCTTCTCCAGCACCATAGTTCAAAGGTCTCAATTCTTTTTAGGATCAATAAGATGAGCTAAACTGTAGCTTCTGTATTCTGAATATTTACAAATTGTATCTGCATTATACTGCATATGCATCATAAAGCATATTATTATATTGATTCAATTTCAGTTTCTATTTAACAACTTATTAGCAGCCTGTCAGTGTCATTATGAACAGAGATGCTCCATTAATGAGAATATTTGTTAATGTGCCCAAATTCTGATCTGAACCTATTTCTCTAAACTGTAGCATTTCATATTCATATAATAAGATATTAGATCTGTCAAATATAAAAGTATCAACAAACATATTTAGTGTACTATGAGCCTACATTTAGTGATGAAGTTATTACTATTAATTTCAATGGTATGTCAGCCTCACTGTGCATAAGACTAAAATTGAAATCTTCTCAAAAAATAATTCACAGCTTTGAATGCTCGTTAATTAGAAATTGATTGCTAATATATGCAACTAAGTACATGAAAAAATCTGAATTTCTTTTAAAAGTTCATTCTGTGATCTTCAGAGGTAGTCATAAAATTGGCAAATTAACTTTCTTGAAGTAAGCCAATTAAACTTGTTACCAGTTCATGTTGCTCTCTTTAATTTCTTGCATACAATATCCTGAAATAATCAATTGTCTTGCATATTTATCTCATAGCATGGGATAGGTGTAAAAGTTGTTTCAACATTTTCCACAAGTATCATATCATATCTACATAGCTGGATCCTGTACAGAGAGAAGAAAATATGCAATCAAGAAAAAGTGTATTTTATTTTTATTGTACATAAGTAATATTCATCTATATTTAATCAGTGTTTTTAAGAGGAATCAGGACTACTGATTTAAGCGTATTACTAATATAATACAGCATAATATATGATAACACTCATCTCCCACTCCCATTCTCTGTTACCCACGTGCCTATCTTTTTTACTAGTCATATTAATGTATTTTCTTTGTTTTCTTTTTCCTTGTTTGTTGTATTGTTCTATTATTTCACATTTTGTTTAAACTTCCTTTTTAATTCTTTGTTTTTATGGTTTTTAGCCTCCTAGCATCAAATAAATTTAATAATAATAATAATAATAATAATAATAATAATAATAATAATAATAATAATAATAATAATAATAATAATAATAATAATAATAATATACTAAACCATGTCCAAAACAGATGGGAATAAATTTTAATCTTATTTACTCCTCTACCTTTAGTTTTTTTACCCACTAAAGTGGGTAAAAAAGTGCTATTGTAAGTGCTATCATTGAGCAAGACTATTAGTGGTTCAACTATCTTTTCCTAAATTCTTCTTCTAGATCATGAAACTATTATAAAATGACAATCTATGTTACCTTTCTGGATGTGAGAGGGATTTTAATCTCATTTCGAGAACCCTAAGCTTGTACTTGGGGCCCACTGTACTCTTTGTAGAAAATGTCAAAGTAATTGTTGAAATGTTTCCAAAATCCAGATAAAATCCAGCAAGTATCTTTGCTTGCCTATATTGTTGAAATACAGCTGCATCACTAAAGAAGAAAAAACAGATTTATTCAATGTATGCCCCTTTATAAAATAAGACTCAAGGTGTCGTGCAATGGGTTCCAATCATCTTAAAAAAAACACAAACCAGAACAGAATATAGAAACAACTACAAACCTTGGTCCAGAAAAAGCAGCAGAAAAATATATTTTGACAACTGGATTCTCAAATACATCCACTACAGATTGTAACAGCATTGTGGACTGATCTACGAAAGGTCTTATTATACCTTACGCCTGCTCAGCTGAAGCTGAACAAGCAAAATTAGCCACTTATTTGTCCATAAGAGATCAGAAGACAAGAAAAAACATGCACTACAATCTTTGCTGCAGCAGGTTTGTGCCTATCGAAAATTTCTCCTCCTTCTGAATTTCTCCTCCTTCTCCTCCTTCTGTATATATAAGGCAAGCAGATAGTTTTGGCTATCAGCACTAGTTCTTGGTATCAGTGCATCTGAGAGTGTCTGTTGAAAAATAGCCATGAAGGGAAGTAAGTCCCTTGCAGTAGCCACTTCCAACCTTCGACCTACACCACCCACTTTCTTATTCTTCCTTTGGCACTGCTGCATTGATATTTCCACTGAGCACTGAAATAAGTGGGTTTTTTTTTTAATTTAATTCAGCCTTTGGATGCACCCTCTTTTATGAAATTTTTTACAATTACTATAAATACCTTGTATTTACACAATAGCAACTTCTGAATTTGCATATACTAATATAAACTAACTTATGTAAATTGAATGCAAACTCTCTTTTTCTCCCTCCCTTTCGCCGTCCCTCCCTTTCTCCTCCTCCCTCTCCTGGTATATATTAGGCAGGTAGCAAAAATAAGTAGCATAATTAGAAAACAGAAAGAAAATCTGACTGAAATAGTATTTGCTTAACTTAGTATTCTGCATCTTGCTTTCCAAAATCAGGGGGCTCTACTCGCAGTCACTCATGCCCTCATGGTTGGGCTACTGTAATGTGCTCTACATGAGGCTGTCCTTGAAGAACATCTGGAAGTGTCAGCTACTGCAGAATGCAGAATGCAACAGAGCAGGCAGTTATGTGTTTCTATACAAACACATTTTTATACCTTTGTTTGGCAAGGTGCATTGTTAACCAATCTGTTTCTAAGTCAAATCAAGGTGCACATTTTGATGTTTAAAGCTCTACGTGGCATGAGATTGGATCATTTGAGGGACTGTCTTTCTCAGATTTCATCTATCCATCCCAAATTTGTTGTATAATTTTGAATCCCATCCTGAGTCATTTGACTGAGATTGGCAGATATATAAATACGTCTTATAAATAAGATACATACAATTTCAATACAGATAGTCCTTGCTTACTGATTCCCTCCTTTAGCAATCATTTGAAGTTACAACTGTGCTCAAAAAATAGTTTTGTGATTAATAACCACATTTCAAATGGTGGGGAATTCCAAAAGGTGGGAGAGAGGGGACAAAGAAAATTTTGCAACTGCTTCACTTAATGATAGAGTTGCCCGTTCCAACTATGGTTCTAACCAAGGTCTACCTCGTTTATCTTTTTTTTTCTTTGCATATTAACTTTCAAATTTCCATTCTAATTCAAAAGTCATTTATCAATTACTCATTTTATTTGTTCAAATTAGTTCTAATTATAGCTGATACTATTTTGCATAAAGAAAGTACCAAAATGAATAAATATATCTCACCTATTAATTCTGGATTCTATTGTATTTCTTGAATTATCTGTTATTTTGATATTTATGAAACCTCTCCTAGTGCTTTTATTCCAGGTAATAATATCCAAAGAATAATGATACACTGTGGGAGAGAGAAAAAAATGTAATTTTATTTTGATTTATTTTCTTCTTTTTTAGAATGGAAAAAAAGAATCCTGGAAAACTGGGAGTTGAGTTTATTGAGCAAAGTCAGAAAGTTATATATCAAGAGACTACTAAAAACATTCTCAGGCTAGAACGTCAGAATAATATATCCATTTCAGAGCTAACTGCATCATAGTAGGTAATAGCTTCACGATAAGCCATTTTATTGTAACCTCTTTTAGCAGCAACCTTTTCTTATTATACTGAGATTGATCAAAATACCCCTTCAATGGTAAGATAAACTCAGGAACAGCATCTTGTGAAAATCTTGTGATTTTCTCATGAAGCAGGGTCAAATAGCTGGTAAAATTATTATACTCTAATTAATTAATCATGATACAAATCTTACATTTGATGCCCTTATAAATATGGATGTCTTTTGTAAGTGCTATATATACTGGTTTTTTTCTAGTTTTTGTTCTATTTTCTATAGTTGCTGTACTTACTAGCAAAATATTTTTTTAAAATTACTCATTCTGTATTACATTTATGATAGTAAATATAGAACATAGTCATATTTCCCCAAGAATGAGACAGCCAGTCATTTCATTTTGAATTCAGTTAAATTTAGTATTAAAATTCTAAGTTTGCTACATTTTCAAATTCAAATTATTACTTGCTGCTAAATATGTCTTGTTCTTTACCTGCAGGTTTTTTTTTGCTGCATTCACAGTTATCAGTAAAATACTATATGCAAAGCAAAAAATATAGCATTACTTTTACCATATCCAAAATAGCCAATAGTCAATGTAACATAAAATGTATGAGCCATATATTGCCTCCATCCTAGTACTAAGAGCGAGCGACTGGCCCAAAGTCAACCAGCTGGCTTTGTAAGACTAGAACTTATGGTCTCCCAGTTCCTAGTCTAATGCCTTAACCATTACACAAAACCGACTATATTGTGATATCGCACAATATAATATATGGAAGTCTGGTTTGCAGTGTGAAATGTTTCTATTAATATAATGCTATTGTATTTAACTTAAGGGATTACATAAATTATTCTAAAGCAGATCCATCTTTTAGTTATG